TGTTTCCCTTTGTCTCCCTTCATTTGTCTCCCGTTGTCTCCCAGCCTGGATGCCTGGCACGGCTCTCCAGGCGGACAGATTCACTTGTCTCCCTTTGTCTCCCTTCATTTGTCTCCCGTTGTCTCCCAGCCTGGATGCCTGGCACGGCTCTCCAGGCGGACAGATTCACTCCCTTTGTCTCCCTTCATTTGTCTCCCGTTGTCTCCCAGCCTGGATGCCTGGCACGGCTCTCCAGGCGGACAGATTCACTTGTCTCCCTTTGTCTCCCTTCATTTGTCTCCCGTTGTCTCCCAGCCTGGATGCCTGGCACGGCTCTCCAGGCGGACAGATTCACTTGTCTCCCTTTGTCTCCCTCTCCCGTTGTCTCCCAGCCTGGATGCCTGGCACGGCTCTCCAGGCGGACAGATTCGCTTGTCTCCCTTTGTCTCTCCCGTTGTCTCCCAGCCTGGATGCCCGCACGGCTCTCCAGGCGGACAGATTCACTTATCTCCCTTTGTCTCCCTTCATTTGTCTCCCGTTGTCTCCCAGCCGGGATGCCTGGCACGGCTCTCCAGGCGGACAGATTCACTTGTCTCCCTTTGTCTCCCTTCATTTGTCTCCCGTTGTCTCCCAGCCTGGATGCCTGGCACGGCTCTCCAGGCGGACAGATTCACTTGTCTCCCTTTGTCTCCCTTCATTTGTCTCCCGTTGTTCCCCAAACAGTTTACTGTGAGGGGTTCTAAATTCATTTAAGGTGGCTCGCCTGTTGCCAAGCCCTAGCCTGGATGCCTGGCACAGCTCTCTGGGTGGACGGGTTCATTTGTCTCCCTGTGTCTCCCTTCATTTGTCTCCCGTTGTCTCCCCGCCTGGATGCCTGGCACGGCTCTCTGGGTGGACGCGATCGTTTGTCTCCCTGGGTTCACTTGTCTCCCTTTGTCTCCCTTCATTTGTCTCCCGTTGTCTCCCAGCCTGGATGATCCAGTCGGATGTTGGGGACAGGGTCCTCCTCTGTCTGCCCTTCATCTGGACTTCGATTTCGCTTGGGCTCGTGGTGGGTCGTCTTCCTTGTCTATCGTTGGCTACACCCTGTCTGTTCGTTCACTGCCTCATTATCAGTTGCGGTCCCGAGCTGACGATAGCGGTGCGCTGCGGTGCGCGGCTTCAGCTACGAGAAGGCTCTGTTAACCCCCCGGTGAAACAAACGTGAATCACGCTGGAGTTAAATCCTCTATCGATTCTTCGAGGATGTTCAACGAACCTTACGCTGAGATACCCAGTGGTGCTCTTGGCACCTGGGGTTGTCCCGGCTCTCCCGGCGGACGGGTTCATTTGTCTCCCTCTCCCTCCATTTGCCTGACGGATTCATTTGTCTCCCTTTGTCTCCCTTTATTTGGCCCCGGTTGTCTCCCAGCCTGGACGCCTGTCACGGCTCTCTGGGGTGGAGGGGTTCATTTGTCTCCCTTTGTCTCCCTTCATTTGTCTCCCGTTGTCTCCCAGCCTGGATGCCTGGCACGGCTCTCTGGGTGGACGGGTTCATTTGTCACCCTTTGTCTCCCTTCATTTGTCTCCCGTTGCCTCCCAGCCTGGATGCCTGGCACGGCTCTCTGGGTGGACGGGTTCATTTGTCTCCCTTTGTCTCCCTTCATTTGTCTGGCACGGCTCTCTGGGCTTTGTTTCCCTTCATTTGTCTCCCGTTGTCTCCCAGCCTGGATGTCTGGCACGGCTCTCCAGGCGGACAGATTCACTTGTCTCCCTTTGTCTCCCTTCATTTGTCTCCCGTTGTCTCCCAGCCTGGATGCCTGGCACGGCTCTTTGGGTGGACAGTTTCACTTGTCTCTCTTTGTCTCCCTTCATTTGGCCCCCGTTGTCTCCCAGCCTGGATGTCTGTCACGGCTCTCCAGGCGGACGGATTCACTTGTCTCCCTTGGTTCCCCTTCTCTGTGGGTGGACGGATTGATTTGTCTCCCTTTGTCTCCCGAGATTTGTCTCCCGTTGTCTGCCAGCCTGGATGCCTCTCTGGGTGGACGGATTCATTTGTCTCCCTTTGTCTCCCTTTGTTTGTCTCCCGTTGTCTCCCAGCCTGGATGCCCCTCTGGGTGGACGGATTCATTTGTCTCCCGTTGTCTCCCAGCCTGGATGTGTGGCACTCACGCTCCGCGGTTTCCTTCACTTCCCGCGGTTCTGTCCTTTTGGCGGGGTCTGGTTTGCCTTCGGCTTCGGCCCTGGCTTCGGTCATTCCTTGTCTTGTGGATGTTGGGGACAGGGTCCTCTGTCTGCCCTTCATCTGGACTTCGATTTTGCTTGGGCTCGTGGTGGGTCGTCTTCCTTGTCTATCGTTGGCTACACCCTGTCTGTTCGTTCAGTGCCTCGTTATCAGTTGCGGCCTCTCTCTGTCCTTGCTCGCATTTGGAGTCCCGAGCTGACGAGAGCGGTGCGCTGCGGTGCACGGCTTCAGCTACGAGAAGGCTCTGTTAACCCCCCGGTGAAACAAACGTGAATCACGCTGGAGTTAAATCGTCTATCGATTCTTTGATGATGTTCAACGAACCTACGCCGAGATACCCAGTGGTGCTCTTGGCACCTGGGGTTGTCCCGGCTCTCCCGGCGGACGGGTTCCTCTCCCTTCATTTGCCTGACAGATTCATTTGTCTCCCTTTGTCTCCCTTTATTTGGCCCCGGTTGTCTCCCAGCCTGGATGCCTGTCACGGCTCTCTGGGTGGACGGATTCGTTTGTCTCCCAGCTTGGATGTCTGGCACGGCTCTCTGGGCGGACGGGTTCATTTGTCTCCCTTTGTCTCCTTCTTGTTGTCCCCCAGCCTGGATGCCTGGCACGGCTCCCTGGTCATTCGCGGTGTATTCCGCGGGCACGCATGTGTGTTTGAGGCTCAGAAACGTGTGTTTGAGCGCGCGCGTGCGCTTGATCAAGCCACAGGCAGCATGCTGCGGATGCACGTACGAGTGCTTCAAGTAAATGATTGTGTGTTCTTGGTGTGTTCCAGCTGACCACATCGGCGCGTTCCAAGTGAACACGCACTTTTTGCATGTGACCACATGAGTGTGTTCCACGTCAGCACATGTTTGTGTTCCAGGTGAAAGCATGCGATTGTTCTGATAAAACACATATGCGATCCGGTCAAAATTCCTAGTAAGGGGGTTTAGTCTACAGAGGCCACCGTCGCAGTCACTTTGTGCAGTTTTTCATTCACACAAAGCGGAGTCCTGCAAATACCAATGGATTGCCCGCTCCCCACTGGAGGCGCTAGGATGGCGCTTGGTTTGCGCTAGGGTCTTCGGTGATCTTGGTTTCCAAGAGTTGGCGCGTGGGTTGCCGCGATGGGCTTTGCGTGGCTTTCAAGGGTGTAATGTTGCAGTTCTTACTTAGTACTTGAAGCCAGCCCGCACGTTTACCTTCATCTTACGTGGCCTTAATTTGTCAAATCCACACAGATGGTCGCCGTGACTCCAAAAAATACGGCGAACCCGCGCTAGCCGCGCGCTAGCAAGGCGCTAGCGCAGTGGTCAGCTGTGACCGGTTCCCAGTTACGCTTCAATCCAAATTTGCTTCCGCTCTCCTCGCATGCAATTATCATGGAGTGCGATTTGCTGGACAAAGGGGAGAAACAACGGCTGAGGCAAGACGGCAGGGATGCCTTGTACCGAGCATACGGAAGAATTGGGTTGCGTATTTCCCTGCGAAAGCAAATGCTTTACTGAATCGATACGAAGAGTTGCCACAATACGATCAAAGCACTTTAGCAATCGATACGAAAGACACTGTGCAGCTAAGCGAGAAAGAAGCGCAATGCGCCGGAAAGCTTTTGCTAAGCTGAAGCCTGTAACTGCTGGAGACGCATCCGATACTGATAGTACTAGCAGTAGTAGCAGCAGCAGCAGCAGCAGCTCGCACGCTAGCAACATGTTGCAAAAAAGCTTGATTGATCGTACACGAACACTATTTTCCTACTTGGGACATGCATATAAAACACAAGCGTTGTTCAAGGCAGAGCCCCATGGAATAGCGCCTCACAGTCGGCTTCGGGAACTTGATTTGTCCATGCGAACACATGTTTGTTGCCCAGGTGAACGCATGTGTGTTGCACATTTGTGTTGCACATGTTTCTCCACATGTGCACACACGTGTGTTCCATGTGTACACATATGTGTGTTACAAGTCAACACAGAAGTTTGTTCTGGTTAAACATGCTTGTGTGATCCAGGTCTGCACCAGTGTCGCACGTGAACACAAATGCCTGTTCCAAGTGAGCGCATATATGGGTTCCAGGTGAACACATATGTGTGTTGCAGGTGAACAGAAATGTGCTTTCCAGACATACACACATATGTGTTCCAGGTGTACGCATGTGTGTGTGTGCGTGTTCCGGGCGCGCATATATATATATATATATATATATATGTGTGTGTGTGTGTGTTCGCGTGTGCACATATGTGTGTTCCACATGTACACATATGTGCGTTCACGTGCGCACATATGCGTGTTGCACGTGTACACATATGTGTGTTCACGTGTACACACATGTGTGTTCTTATCAGACACGTGTATGTGTTCCAGGAGAACACATGTTTGTTATCAGATGAACACGTGCGTGTGTGTCTGCTCCGCGTGCACTTTTTTTGTATGTGTGTTCACGTGCACACATTGTGTGTTCACGCGTGCGCACATGTGCGTTCCAACTGGACACGTGTTTGTGTTCCAGGAGGACACATGTTTGTTATCAGATGAACACGTGTGTGTGTGTCTGCTCCGCATGCGCATGTGTGTGTGTGTTCATTTGCACACATATGTGTGTTCCACGTGCACACATTTGTGTGTTCACGTGTCCACACATGTGTGTTCCAATTGGACACGTGTTTGTGTTTCAGGTGAATACATGTTTGTTTTCAGATGAACGCACGTGTGTGTGTGTGTTCCGGGTGCGCATATATATGTGTGTGTTCACGTGTACACATATGTGTGTTCACGTGTACACACGTCTGTGTTCCAATTAGACACACGGTTGTGTTCCAGGAGAACACGTGTTTGTTATCAGATGAACACTCGTGTGTGTCTGTGTTTTCCGCGCGCGCATAAATGTGTGTGTGTTCACATGTGCAGTACACATGTGTGTGTTGCACGTGTGCACATGTGTGTGTTCACGTGTGCGCATTTGCGTCTCCCACGTGTACACATATGTGTGTTCACGTGTACACACATGTGTGTTCCAATGGACACGTGTTTGTGTTCCAGGTGAACACATGTTTGTTTTCAGATGAACACTCGTGTGTGTGTGTTCCGGGTGCGCGTATATATGTGTGTGTTCACGTGTACACATATGTGTGTTCACGTGTACACACGTCTGTGTTCCAATTAGACACACGGTTGTGTTCCAGGAGAACACATGTTTGTTATCAGATGAACACGTGCGTGTGTGTCTGCTCCGCGTGCACTTTTTTGTATGTGTGTTCACGGCACACATTGTGTGTTCGCGCGTGCACACATGTGCGTTCCAACTGGACACGTGTTTGTGTTCCAGGAGGACACATGTTTGTTATCAGATGAACGCGTGTGTGTGTGTGTGTGTGTCTGCTCCGCGTGCGCATGTATGTGTGTTCATTTGCACACATATGTGTGTTCCACATGTACACATTTGTGAGTTCATGTGTCCACACATGTTTGTTCCAATTGGACACGTGTTTGTGTTTCAGGTGAATACATGTTTGTTTTCAGATGAACGCACGTGTGTGTGTGTGTTCCGGGTGCGCATATATATATATATATATATGTGTGTGTTCACGTGTACACATATGTGTGTTCACGTGTACACACGGTTGTGTTCCAATTAGACACACGGTTGTGTTCCAGGAGACCACGTGTTTGTTATCAGATGAACACTCGTGTGTGTCTGTGTTTTCCGCGCGCGCATAAATGTGTGTGTTCACATGTGCAGTACACATGTGTGTGTTCCACGTGTGCACATGTGTGTGTGTTCACGTGTGCGCATTTGCGTCTCCCACGTGTACACATATGTGTGTTCACGTGTACACACATGCGTGTTCCAATTGGACACGTGTTTGTGTTCCAGGAGAACACATGGTTGTTATCAGATGAGCACACGGGTGTGTGTTCCGGGTGCACATATATGTGAGTGTTCACGTGTGCACATATGCGTGTTCACGTGTGCACATATGTGTGTTCCACGTGTACGCACATGTGTGTTCCAATTGGACACGTGTTTGTGTTCCAGGTGAACAGATGTGTGTTTCACGTGAACACATTAGTATGTGCTAGGTGAACTTTTTTTGGCATCTGACGACATATTTGCTCTCCAGGTGTGCACATGTATGCGCTCCAGAAAACGCATGATTGTTTTCGAGGTGCGCGCATGTGTGTGCGATTTAGGTGAGCATTTATGTTTGCTCACGTGTGCGCATATGTGTGTTCCACATGTACACACATGTGTGCTTTAATCGCACACGCGGTGTTCCAGGTGGACACATGTTTGTGTTCCAGTGGTATACATATGTGTGTCCCACGCGTACACACATGTGTGCTTTAATTGCGCGTCTTTGTGTTCCAGGTGAACGCATGTGTGTTCCACGTGTACACACATGTGTGTCTGAATTGGACACGCGTTTCATTGTGTTCCAAGTGAACACACATGTGTGTTCCACGTGAACGCATTAGCGTGTCGTAAGTGAACACATATGTGCGTTCCACGTTTGCACATGTGTGTGTGCTTTCCAAGAAGCACATGTTTGTTTTCCAGCTCAACACATTTATGCGTGTGCCGCAGGTGAATGTATACTGTTTCAGTCGTATACGTATGTGTGTTCCACGTGTACACACATGTGTGTCTGAATTGGACATGTGTGTTTGAACTGCCCATGTGACTGCGTGCTTGCGCGGCCACACTTGCGTTCACGCGCGCGCGCTCGCCCGCCATCGCGCGCGCTTGCCCAACCTCAGTTCTGGCGCGGTGCTGAAGCGCGAAGCACGCCAGCAACACACGTGCAGCAACGCAACGCGCGCCAGGTTCACGACTGCATCATTTTGATTCATCCGTGTTGAAGCGCAGAAAGCCACAAGCTGTTGGCATGTTTGTGCTCGCCCGTCAGCCCTCAACTGTTTGGGGTCTCTGCTGGTGTAATGTTTTTCCTCGTGTTTTCCCTGGAACACTATGGTAAAAAGGGTAACCTCAGAAAACCCTCCCTGTTTCCCACGTGCCAAGTCGCAGCTCGTTAAGGAGCCCAACCTCCCCCGTAACGTTGCTGCCTGAGCGTAGGGTCCGCGGCGTTGAAGCATCCATCGGCGAAAGTCATGCCCGCAGCAAGTCGTGCTCACAGGCCCCGCGGTTCAAGGCACAGCTTGGGAAGTGAAAAAAGCTTATGAACATTCAAGGGGGGTTACTGCCCTTTTGCTGGCCTTCCAGCGACGATTCCCCAGCTGGGCTGTTTAAAATGCATAGTGGGCCAATCCTAAATCCCCAAGCCCATGTTGGTGCGAAACGAATGGAAAGGAAAGGACGCCGCTCAACAGTTCTATTCTTGCTTGATCATTCCGAGGCTCGGAGCAACCCAGGTTTACAGGAAGGCTGGCTGGGTGCGAGCTAGGTTCCGGAAATATGGACCAATATCATTTACTTGTTGCTTCTTTTGCTATGTTTCATAAAAATGGCTATTTTCCGCCCGGTGTGTTTTTCATGGTCCCTGAAACGTGGGTTGGGCATGAACCCCAAAGAACTGATGTCCGCCCAGGCCTTTGAACGGCCAGGGCGGCCTTTTCTGAGGCTTCCGCCGGCAGCTCGCGTGCAGAACCAGCAGCTGTGCTCCTGAGACCCAGGGCTTCATCCAGGCCTTGCTTCTGCAAACCCGCAGCAGGAATTTCCCGTGAATTTTGGGGGACCTGGAGACATGTCGACCACGGATGTATTAAGCTTGCCTGATGACCAGGGGGGGGGGTCCATGATATGGAGGTTTCTTGTATGAGGGAGGCGAGGTTGTATACAACCTCGTTCCCACAACCCTGGCTTGAAGTATTGTTTTTCTGAGTCTTTGGGATTTAACCTTGGACCCAAGAAACAATTGTTTCTTTGCTATATCTTTTGGGAACCCACTTTTGTGGGTTCCGTGTTAATTTGAAGGGGAAAAGTCTTCCAAGCCGTTCCGAGTAAACCTTCTGGAGACAGCCCGCGTCCCCCTGTAGCGAGCCCCATCCGGAAGACTCAGGAGGATCCATGATGCGTTTTCGGAAGCCACTCATTCTTGCGGGTTCACGTGCTGCAAAGGCCGGAAGGGACGGATTGTGACCATTGCCAATGATAGGAGTCCCTTTCTGACCCACTTGCAAACCACAGGAGTGCCGACCACTTTCCGTTATCGTTTTTGGAGCCACACCTAGGCAAACGGCTATCCTCCACAAACCTAAAGCAAGGACTTCTGATGTAAACACAACTGGCCTCTAAACCAGGGACCCCCCTAAAAAAACATTTTTTTGGCCAGGTTTCCCGTAGTATCCCTACCAAACTCAACCCATGCCAAACCGCCTGGCTGACTCGCCGGAAAGGCGGTTTGGCCCGCCTTGAGCTTCTGTTGGCCCACCAGGGTCAACACCTGGCCGAGCTTGGAACAAGTTGGGAAATCACTCATCTGGGCTGCCCTCAGTTCCCCCGCTAAAAGTCTAACTCTTTACCACTAAACCCTTAAAGTTTAAACAGCTAAGGGGATGGCTGGGAGCCACCAAGTAGCCTCACACGAGTCACAATCAAATCCTGGTAGTGCCGGAGTCCATCCAAATCTCTAAAGAGATGATCAAGAAAGGCGGCTGCACCTAGTTGTGATTGGGATTCTCCCTTGCCAACCTTCACTTACTGGGTTTTGATTGCGGCCCACAGGCAGCGCCCATTCATGTTGACGAAGTTCGTCAAGAAAAGGCCCCCGTCTTTTGGTGGGACGCACTAAAGCCAGCCCCCGGGCGCCGCACCCGCTTCATGTGGTCCACCTTTGCCAAGAGGTCCTCCATGGCGGAGCCGAACCTTGGATCGCGGATGGAAGAGAAGGGGCCGTCGATTCTGAGGACATGTTCCCGAGTGTTGGTTGCAATCCTTGAACTAGGTCCTCTAGTAGAGAGGTTAGAACAAGGGTCGTTTCTTTGTTCTGTAGTCTATATGAGTAGGGGAACCAAACCAAAAAAAAGAAGAAGAAGAAACGGTAAAAGGGCACCTAGCTGGGGGACCTAGCGAAGCCACGGTGGATGCCCTAAAAAATGCAAGTAACTCTGCACATCTCCATGGCTTGTGGGCCATGAGACTCCAGGGAATTTAACCGAATCCAGTGGTCTTGGTAGACAAAAGCAAAAGAAAACAATCCAATGTCTATCCTCGTGTTTTGGCGGCGCAAATGAATCAAAACCCGGTACTGGAATGGTCTACCCAGAACCAGGTAGGGGGCCGCAGCTATTTATGGTTGGGATTGTCCCTTACCAACCTTCATCTACCCGGGTTTTGAGTGTGGCTCAAATGCCCCCCCCGCCGAATTCACCAAGTTTGTAATTAAGAAATGCAACTGGGGAGGGGGCTCCTCTGGCAGGCATTTCAGAAGGGAGGCTCCCAGCTGCCCAGCTGGCTACAGTATGAAATAGAGGGCCTGAAGCATGACACAAGATGCCCATCCCTCTTTTGGCTGCCTCCTGGAATTCTGACATGACGGGCTACTTGATTCAGGACCCGGTCAAAAAAAACCACCGAAGCTCCGCTGTGCCGCCAGGGGCGCGCGGCGGTCTCGTCTAAGATTGCCTGAGCTAATACTGCGGAGGTTGCAACATCCCTTCGCGCCACGAAAGAAACCATATTGGGAATTGAACCATAAGGCCTGGTAGGTATTTACAGGGGGGTCGAATCATTACTCGGTTTCTTGGGTGGTGCAGGACTTTGTCAATCCACAGTAGGGCGCCGATCCGTCTTCAGCTTGCGCTTGTTTGGTGAGTTTGAAAGGGGGGATCCCCTTTCAGCCAATCAAAAAAATCCCTGAGCCACCATACCTAAACGACCACTCCAGGGTTACCGAGTTTGAGCTAAAAGGCAAGCCAACACAGCCAGTTGACGGCCCCAGTTCTGACACGTACCCAGGCCGAACTGAGTCCCGACTCTTTCCAAGCCAACAGCTTTCCCAACGAACTGATGCACCTTAGATTCCTCCCTTTAAATCAAGCAAAAACAACCCTCCCCCCCCCCCCCCATTACTCAGTTCTTAAAAGACGGATCTGCAAATCTGGGCAAAGTTCAAACTTATTGGGCCACCCTGGAACACAGTGAAGGAATTCGTTCTGACCCCGGGAAAGGGGAATATACTCGGCCGATCCGTGATCCTTCCGATTGTAAGCACCCCCGAATTACTCCAAGTGCGCATTTGTCTGGTGTGATGCCAACCCCTCACCAAAAGTATTAACTAATCATCCCCAGGTTGTTGCATATACACCCTTTGCAATATGGGTAGTTCAGCTAGACATCAACGGTCAACCTTTTTTGGGACCCGTGAACCAACACGGAAGGCCCAAAAGCATCGGTGTCCTTTTTGGAAAATAGATGGCCCTGGTAGATGATTGAACCAGGTAAATCAGGGCAATTGAATTTTTAAACAAAACAACCAAAAAGGACACCTATGACCAAAAGGTTAAGAGATGACAAACCCTCGGCGTTGGACAGCTGAGCAAGGGGCCCCATGCCCAACCCACGCGCTGCGGCCACGGGGCTCGGATGTCTGTCATGGACTTGCCGTCCACGTCCAAGAGCTGCCGGAGGAGAGACATGCGCTTGATGCCTATACGGGCCAAAGACATGTGGGCCAATTACTGTGACCCACACCCCGAAAACGAGGAAGACCCCAAATGAGGGACCTTCATATCCCAGGAAAGCTCGTTTTGATTGGGGCTCTGACCTGCCCGGAGCGAAATGGCGTGGGTGAACCCACAGGCTCGGCTGGTGCTCCAAAGTGACCAGCAGCCCCAGGTCGACCCAACAACGAGCTACAGTGCATGCCCGTCCCTTGAAAAAGGACTGCTGTCTGTTAAAGAAAGTGGTGAAGATGCGGGTTTTGGCCCTCCGCTCTGCTCACATCCTCTTGTCTCGCCTTTGCGCTTGCCTAAGTCCTCAAGCCAGAAGGGCTGCAACATCTCCAGCTGCATCTGACTGAGTTCCTTGCGACGAAGCAGCTGCCGCACCTTCTCGCACCGCTCATGCTGCAGCTGTTCCTCCAGCTCTTCCTCGTTCAGATCCTGTGGCTCTGGCTATTGCCGGGCCCCTTGCGCAATGCATTTTCCACCAGTTGAGGTCAAAGATCCAAACAACAAGTAAAAAAAGCAACAAACAAAACCTCAAAGCAACCAAGGTTCCGTCTTTGTTCCAAGAGGCCGAGGCCTTCTCCGATGAAACTGCAGCCAGTCGCACAAGTCCTCCAGCCAGTCCGCTCGCGGAAGTCGACCTGCAGCCCGACTTGGATTGCACGCCTCGATTCTGCTCCGAACAGGCTGCAACATGTCCAAGTGCTCCTCGCTAAGCGCATTTGTTCGCAGTAACCTTCGCACACGTGTGCAACGTCCGTATTGCAATTGCTCCTCCAACTCAGCCTCTTTCAAGCCAACTCCTCTTGGAAAGCAGCGCGGACTGCGCTTGTGAATTCGAAGCCAGGCACATAAATCCTCCACCCACGCTGTCCGCTTGGCTTCTACAGCTGTTGTGTCAAGCTGAATCTTGCTCCAAAGTGGCTGCAGCATATCCAGTTGCTGCTGGCTAAGCTCATTTCTCCGGTGCAACTTCCGAACCCGCAAGCACCTTCCGTATTGCACTAGCTCCTCTAGCTCTGTCTGGTTCAGGCCAACTTTTGCTCGAAGCCGGCGCGGCCTGCGCTCGTGAAGGCGTAGCCAGGCACACAAATCCCCCAGCCAGTGCGTGCATTGAAGCCCTATTTCGTTTTCGAAAGGCTGCAGCATATGCAAGTGCTCCTGGCTGAGCTCATTTCTCCGGCGCAACCGTACCACGCTTTCGCACCGTTGGTATTGCAACCGCTCCTCCAGTTCTGTGCTGTTCAAGCAGCCACCCTTCGCTCGAAATCGGTGCGGCCTCCGCTTGTGAAGGCGTAGCCAGGCACACAAATCCTCCACCCACGCTGTCCGCTTTTCTACAGCTGTAGTGGAAAGCTGACTCTCGTTCCAAACAGGCTGCAGCATATCCAGTTGCTTCTGGCTAAGCTCATTTCTCCGGTGCAACCTTCGCACTGCTGCGCATCGTTTGTATTGCAATCTCTCCTCTACCTCTGACTCATTCAGGCCAACCCTTCCTTCAAAATGGTGTGGCCTGCGCTTGTGAAGGCTAAGCCAGGCACAAAACTCCTCCAGCCAGTGCCTGCGCTGAAGCCCAAGTTCATTTTCAAGAGGCAGCAACATATCCAACTGATTTTGGCTCAGCGCATGCTTGCGAAACAACCTTCGAACCTGTGAGCACCGCTTGTATTGCAATCGCTCCTCCAGCTCTGTCTCGCTCAAGCCAACCCTCGCTCCAAATCGGCGCGGTCTGCGCTTGCGAAGGCGTAGCCAGGCACACAAATCTTTCAGCCAGACAGTCTGCCGAGCCCCAGGACGCACTGGAGAGGGTCTTTGCAAGCACAAAGCGAGCTGCAAACAAGAAACGCAAATGATAAGCAACGCTGCGAAACAGGTGGCCCGCGCAAGGACGCCATTTTTCCCTGTGATCCCGGTTCCCATTCTGAGCCCAACATCTTGCTGCGTCTTTGCAGTCCTGGGGAAGCTACGAGCGAGGTAGACCCCTGGGGTAGCCCTCTCGCCTGCATCCACGCCCAGAAACAGCGGCTCGGAGGGGGAGCCATTCAGCGTCTCGTCTGCTATGGTCAGGCCTTGCCAGGCTCACCAGCTCACCAAGAAACCCCGGAGTATCGAGCGGTTTGGGGGGAGTCCCTAAAAACATGACACTTGCTTTGTTTGAATGTTTGATGTTTAAGGCAGGCCCCTCAAGACAAAGGGGCCACTAAGAATAAGAACAGAGATGTTGGAGGTTGGCCATCATTGATTAGAGGTCCAAGTTCCCCGCGTCTCTATGTTAAGAAAGCGAGCTATGGCATCCAAAAGGGCCCCAAAAGGAGATTCTTCCGATATGGCTTCCTGGGTTCCATGATGACGTGAAGGGGATTGCTCCAAGCGGCTGTGGCAAATCGCCTCGGACACGGTGATGGTCAGGGTTTCCGACCTTGATCGTGCAAAGGAGAGCGTTCAGAACGCCAAAGATTTTACACATGTAGATATGTTCTCTGGCAAAAGGCAAAACAACGTTCTACCTTTTTGAATGCGCGTGGCAACCCTGCTTTAGCAAACGTATCTGCAAGAAGCCGTACCCTTCCAGATGCCGAATCGCAAGTACTCAATGCAAATAATTGATTTGGCGTTGGGTCGCCAAGTTTAAGACATGCATTTTTTGTTCATTTCCCCTGATCCCAAAGCCTCTGATCCCAACCACCATTCCGGGAATACAACCCCCTGATCAACATGGAACCCGCAAAGCGCTTGCATGGCGGACGCCTTTTTCAAGGGGTCACTGATCAATGTACTGGTGGTTTCCATTGAAGCGATCGCCACAGTTGGAGGTCAACAGGGAAATGCTGGGAAACCCTGGCGAAACCACGATTCAATTGGCTAGGCTGGGGGACCCCGGTCTTTGTAGGATAAGGGACTGCTCTGTAGGGCTCGTCCAGAAAAAAGCCAACCCACCGGCTGGGACACTGGCCGGGTGTATGCCACAAAAGCGCCCGCCGAAGCAGCCTGAGCACCAGCACCACCAACCCCCATTAACCCCTGCTTTTTCGCTGTCCGAAATGCAGTTGGGTGCTGGCATGTGCTTTCTCGTTCCAGGAGTTGAGAAGCCAACCCCGTTCCCTTTGGATGAGTTGGGGTGTGTCTGTTTGCCAAGAGCTCATATGTGGCCTTTCAAAGGTAAAAGGCTTCATCTGAACTCAAATCCAAGCGGCTAACCCTCCCACAAGCCGCAACGAGAGACATGGTGGCAGCGCGCATGCCAGCATCACAAAGGGAAACAAACAAAAACAACATTTTCAGCGAAAAGAGCAAGTTCCATTTACAATTGATCAAACTTGGCGGGCAGGGCCCCGGGTTGGTTGTATTGGGCTCAGTTTGATGCCGACGACAAGGAGGTCTTGACACATAGTTGCTTTGGATTGCAATCTGCTCTCGGGATGTCTGATCACAAGGTTGACTGCTCCTTTGTCAACCAACGCAAACATGATTGATTCTGGCCCATATCTGTTGATTATAGACAGCAAACCTGCTGAACAAATTCCAGAAGTCTGTGTACCGCAATGCTCTGTCAGCTTGGCATTGTAGGCAACGCAGGCGGTAACATGTGCTGCCAATTCAGCACAGGCAGTATTGCATCCAGGCCGCCACAAAAATCACCGGGACCTGAGCTCGCGCACAGTGCACACGCAGTGGGGCACGTGAAAGATTGGAGCTTCAAGTTTGCATGTCTGTTGAGTGGTGCTTTGGCTTCAAAAGTGCCCAGAACAGCTCACTTCAATGCGCCAATCATTGGGAGCATTCTGGCATGTCTGGGAGGCTAAAGCCCACAAATGCGCGTGCGGATGCTTCAAGTGAACGTTCACTGCTGGACATACTCAAGCAACAAGAAACACTTCTCAAAGAGCGGAAGAGCAATGGCTACAAATCGGCATCCGCTTGGCCCCATCGCAAGGCCACAATTAGCATAGAGAAACGCAACGTTCGCCTTGCATATGCTTGTTGTGCATTGGGATCTGCTTGCACGATGACTGCATCGCGTGCAATGCTTACGCGTGGATCAGGGTACCTGGCATGAGACTCTGTAGGAGACACAACCGGTCAGATTATTTGCGTGAGACATAAAGGGCATAATGAATACTCGATGAGGAAATCGATATTGCGCCTTTCGGGCAAGGCGCCAAGCAAATCACGCCAGCTTTCCTGGGCTGGAGTCGGCGGAGGGCGGGTGGGCCGCGCTTGAGAGGACCCACAAACTAACCCCTGCTTGATTCAGGCCTCTCATTTGAAAGAGGTTTCTGGACGTTCAGGAGAACCACCCAAGTCATCTGGCCATTTCATGGTGTTAAGGGCCAACACTAGCAGCAAGAGACGCACAACAGTATGACTGCCACAGACATCTTCAGAGTAGGCAAGAAGGGTTACGGTCACCTTCAAAGAGATGCAAGGCACACATTGCTTGAAATATTTGTTGACACCCGAAGGGAAGAGGCAAGGCTCATGCCCTAGTTCACCTCGGCTGTGTCTGTAAGCTCTTCAGGACTGACATGTGGAACATCTCGGGGCCACTTCTCCATCGTTTCCCGAAGATGCTTTCCAGACATGAGCTAAACTTTCGTGAGCAAACGCATGGCGATCAAATCGTAAGGAAATGGACAATGCCCCAATGTCCTAGATTCTTCGATCGATGGGTGCGAGCGGCGAAAACAGCCGAATGCTTCTGAGCTTGATTGGATGTTATCTTTTGGCTTTATTGGGAGCTCGATTCGGCTAGCATCGATGCAGGACTGGAGCGAGTCATGGGCAGGGTAAGGATTTATGGCGACTGAAGCTGTCTTGAGCATCCGCCTTCAACATGTTTCTCAGTCCTGTCCAAACTCGCATTCAAGCCTTCGGAATTGGAAGGCCAAGGAAAGGCCAAGGAACATCCTTGTGGATGTGCGAGCCGTATCTGGAACTGGCTTAGCCTCCCTGAGGACTCTTTTTGCCCTATCAGTTGAAAAGGGCACAGGTTTGCGCTACACCAATTGGACAAGCGCCGCGCCAAAACACTGACACATGTTCTCGATGCAGCAAGCTGCACAACGTCTTTGGCGACCAAAGCACACAGCATCAAACAAAGTTGGGTTTGTGCCGCGTGCCATCTGCCAAGAGGGGTGAATACGTCGGCGGGGCTTGGCAACTTCGTCTGTGCAATTCTCAAGCGAGATGACACGCAAAGGCGAGGGCATCGCAAATATCGCAACCGACACGGGAAACTCAAAATCATGCAAAGCAAGCGCAAATGACAACATGAGGGCGAGGGTGCAACATGGAGGTCGATGATGTTTTCCTGCGACATTGGGAGGTCAGGCGTCAGCGCCAACTGTTGAAAATAATGGGGAATCAACCCCAGAATACGTGTCCTCTCTCATCCAACAGCCCCCCCCCCCCCAAACAAGGGTTCCCTGTTCCCCCTCTGAACACCACCCCGCAAGGGAATCACCTTAAGTTGGCAGCCAAAAGGTGACGTGTAGAAGGAATCTCACTTCAACATGGCAACGAAAAGGTGATCTGTAGATCCCACCAAAGGGAAAACATACTGTGGATGGACGAAATCCTGCACCACCTGAGAAACCTGATAATCCTGATTCCCTTGTAAATGCCAACCAACAAGGGTTTCCCGTGGTTTCAAAGTGGTGCGAAATGGATTTCGTCCATCCACAGTAGGGACCCCAGCCCCAGCGGCCCCGGCGTCCGATTCTCGGCCGAGGCTCTGCCAAATAGCCGCCGGCCTTGGCGCCTTCCGCTCGGAGCAGAGGCAGCCTCCATCGGCTCCGGATGCGGCGGCGTCGACCGCGGAATCCACCGGGCACTGGTGAACCATTAGTGCAACCATTCGGGAACCTCAGGAAGATAGCTTGAAATACCCGAGAAAACCCGGGATTTCCTGCAAAACGCCCATTTTCGCTGGGTTCTTAGACACCCTTTGGGGCGCCGTGACCACACATAGACCAACATAGGGAAGTGAGAACCCACTATGACTGTAGGTCCCCGTGCGTCAGTACCATGGTGAACCATCGATTCAGAGGTGTCATTTAAGCAGAATTCCAAACATAGGTGTCCTTTTGGCAAAATTGACGGCCCTGGTGAATGGAACAAAGGCCATCTAAACCAGTGCCATCAATTTATTCCTATCCAAACTACTTGGACAAACCCCCAAACCCTCCAACCCCCCGAGCTCTGCGCCAACTCCACGAGACCGATTTCTTTATTCCAAGAGACATCTCCGGCAGCAGCGGCACATTGCCGTGCAGCAGCACACCTGTCACTAAACCTCTTCCCGAAGCGAAAGAAAAGGCCGCCCAACCCAGAAATGGGAAACCGCATCACAGTAGCTAGGTCAGACATATTTCATACTTTTAGCACACTGCACATCCCTTCCAGGTGTTGGTTTCTGTTTGGGCTACCCGTTTCTCTCTGAAACCCTCCAACACAAAGTGATCAAAAAAGACACCCAACTCACAGTTCTTGAGATCGGGGTGGAGTCCCTTTCTGGAGTCAAGAAACCCCACGCCCCGCCCCGCATACATGCTTTATCCCCATGGAATCTTCCTTAGAATGCAACCTCCCTCCATGGATTGTGTTTTTACCCCATGGCACCTTAAGTCGCCGACCTCCCATACCGATATTTCTCTGGGTTGTGTTTGGGGATTGTTTTCTTGGGGGTCGGCAGTCGGGGGGTGCAAGGTGCGTATGATGACTTCGCTTAGCAGCTTGAGGCCCATGGCCAAGGGCGCCTCACACAACGTTTTCTTCGGAGTGTGGCCAATCCATCTCTGTCCCATCTCCGTCGCAAACCACTGCAAAGGACCCTCCGTCATTCCTAACCCTTGCGAATCGCCTTGAACTCACTTCTTGAGTGGACTGGCCAAAAAAGTTCAACTTGTTGTTTGCCACTAAAATGGTCTTCCCCAAAAGTTTAAAGTCCACATACGTCAGGAAGTGAGTTAAGCATCCCTGGATGTCCAATGCTGGGCACATCTGCAGCTCTCGCCTGTTGGTCGTTTGGATTGGTGGTTTGGAAGTTTGGGGGTGGTCCCCCATTCAACCGCCGCAACCCCCAAACCACCAATCCAAACCACCAAATAAGGGGTAGCTGAACTAGACTAGAGAAAAGGCATGATACAAGAGGGTTTGCTTTTTGATCGGGGAGCCTAAAAGCTAATTCCATGTTTTCCCAATGTAGGCACGCGACGGACAAACCACTTCTGCCAAAAAAAGGCGTGGAATCCTTCTCTGGCCAACTTTGACCAAACAAAACATGGGACCAACCTCTCAAGGAAAATCAGTTGGCAGCCCGCCTGCCACACGCACGTGAAGAAGAGACCGGCCAGCAGGGGACTGCCTGCAACAGGCTCTGAGGGCTACCTGCTTCAAATGAACAGGCGGAGGCTTCACCTGGGATACAAATATGTGTGCATATGCATGTGTAGATATGTTGAATAATTAAAGCCTATATACACAGGTCCTGGGTGCATACATACATGAGTGTATCATGTGTGTGTGTGCGTGTTTATGTACATGCATCTCTTTTGGGATGTAAAGCAAGGGCACCTACTCCAGAGATATGTGGTTGCTCCCTATTTTCCGGATGGCTGAAGGGTGTTGCATAGTTGGCTGGAGCTCGATTCAAAGGGAGACCAAGAGGAAACCACCAAACATGGACCCCCCCCCCTTTGACAAAAACCCGCATAGCCGTGAGAACACTCGCGGAAACCAACAAGCCAATCATCCGAAGCACTCGTTTTTGTGGAGTGAGTTGGGCCGAGTCTGACTAAGATAGGCACAGGTTGGCGACCCGCCTCGCATTATACAATCGTCCTAGCTCGGAGGTGTCCCTGCAGTCCCTCGACCCCAAAGACCCATCCCAGGGGTTGAAAACAAAGGCTTTGAGACGACTTCAACGACACTTGTCCAAGACCTCCATGGTGCAGTGCTGTTCCCTTTGTCTGTTGACCTGGCCTGGGAAGTTTTGTTTCACAAGACTTCCACGCCGAGACTGAGACAGGCGCCCTGACTTGGAAATGAACAATGCTATCTATTAAAAGTTGACTGGGGGGTGTTGGAAGACCACCGTTGCCAATATGTTCGTTTTACTTGGTTAGAGGGAGGGTTGCCAGGACCGCCGCCCTTGTCAAGCAGCCAGAAGAACTACCAGCATGCCATGTATCCAGGAATCGCTCGTCACTCCAGTAACCACCTCGTTGTTGAAAGCAACAACCAAGCATTCACAATTAACCGCGAAAAGGGGAGGACCCACATCCCATGCTTCTAGGTGCCTTGCGACAAGGCGGTACTGGTAAATGATTAGAACTAACTTAGAGCCAGCGCCATCTATCTTCAGCCATGCCCATCCATGCTCCATCTTTCACGAACCGATGCGGTTCGAACCTAAATTCAGACAGAGACCACAGAAGCACGTGCAGGCGAGGGGCCAAAAATCAGCAGGCTGAACAAATAGTCCTGGCGCGGCCCTCAACAGCATGCCATGAGTAGCAAACGCTTGATAAGGCAAATGCCCCGAAGAGCCAGCAAGTGAAGGACAACCACACAAACTTGGGTGAATGGTCAAAGAGAAGCGTTGCCTCTCATGCTTAAGATCTGCAAAGCCTCAACCGTAAGCTCAGGTCTCCCCAAGATCCCCGACCAGGACCGAGAACGAGGGTATATCATGGGATCGTGTGGGATCTCCTGAAAAAAACAAAACCAACACTTGACATGCCCTGCCACTTTATATGGCATGGCCGGCTGTTCTTCTTATTTCCGTAAACATGTGCTGGAGCTGGACAAAGACCACTAATTGGGAATCACGCGAAACGGGATCCAACAAAATAATCCCAAAGGAACCTTGCACCATAGCCAAACTTGGACCTTTGACAAATTGGGTGGACAATGGGGAAGTGGAGAAGTGGAAGGAGTCACCGAATTGCAATGTCAAAAGCTGCGATTTACTGGCGAGTTCCCATGAAACTGCAACTGGAGGTGCAAAGAAGGAACATTGAAGAACGAACCACGAGTGGCAGATTGGCAAACAGGTCCAAGAGCAAAAAGAGCGCCCCAGCCAAGAAACAAAGACACTGCTAAAGCCTGTCGTTTGACTCGCCAGAAGCAAACATAGCCAGCGTGTAGCATGGAGGAATTGCAGTTGTCTCAATCAATTCAGCATGGTGCAATTTTTCAAGACTGCAGGACAGCAACCCCATTTGTTCTTCATCTTTCACCCATGCTCAAGTGACGTGTGCCCCAACTTGCCAGCGACCACCCCAAAAGACCTGCCAGTGGGCCTCAATCTATTGGGGGTGGTGACAATGATACGTGCCATGGTGGAAACTCCTATGGGCGGTGGTCATGAGTCCCGGAAATCCGCCGACCCCTTTGCAAAAGCCAAGTTAGTCTCTGCAAAGTGTTCTAAGTGGTGGTTGGGGGGAGTCTGAGGGGGTACGGGGGGGGAGGGGGGCTCCCGTGGCGGATTTTTGACACGCCTAACCTCTGACCCGAACCTCTAACCCTAACCTCTAACCCTAACCTCTAACCCAAACCTCTAACCCTAACCTCTCACCCTAACCTCTAACCCTAACCTCTAACCCTAACCTCAAACCCTAACCTCTAACCCTAACCTCTAACCCTAACCTCTCACCCTAACCTCTAACCCGAACCTCTAACCCTAACCTCTCACCCTAACCTCTAACCCTAACCTCTAACCCTAACCTCTCACCCTAACCTCTCACCCTAACCCCTCACCCCAACCTCTAACCCTAACCTCTCTCCCTAACCTCTCACCCTAACCTCTAACCCACCCTAACCTCTAACCCTAACCTCTAACCCTAACCTCTAACCCGAACCTCTAACCCTAGCCTCTAACCCTAACCTCTAACCCTAACCTCTCACCCTAACCTCTAACCCTAACCTCTAACCCTGACCTCTAACCCTGACCTCTAACCCTAACCTAACCCTAACCTCTAACCTCTAACCTTAACCTCTAACCGTGAGGATGGATGATGATGATGAAAGACTACGGAACGATGAACGGAAGACTATGGGAAGCTGAAGGAAGACTACGGGAAGATGACAGAAGACTACGGGAAGCTGATGGGAAGAGAAGAAAGAAGAGAGAAGAAAATAACAATAAGAGAAGAGAACAGGGGAGAGAAGAAAATAACAGAGAAGAAAAGAGAAGAGAAAAAGAAAAGACAGAACAAAAAGAGAAGAGAGATCCGACAAAAGAGAAGAGAGATCAGACAAAAGAGAAGACAAAAGAGAAATGAGGAAAGAGAAACGAGAAAAGAAAAAAGAAAGAGAAAAAAAAGAGGAGAGAAAAGAAAGAAAATAAGAGAATACAAGACAAGAGAAAAGAAGAAAGAAGAGAAGAAGAGATGACGAGACAAGAAAAGAGAAGAGAGAAGAGAAGAAAGAAGCAGCCCACTTACCAGTCATAAAATGTAATGTGACGTGATGTACTCTCATCTGACCTAATGGCTTCATTCTCTTAGGACGCCGGCTTCGCTCACGGCGCCGCAGCTTCTCCAGCTCAGCGTGAGCTTTGGAAAGACGCTGTTCCTCCTTGCGGCAGGGACACGCCAGAATGCTAGATTGCGCGCCACCGCGAGACAACGCCTCGGGAAAAAGCAAACCGAAGGAAACAGGGCGCAGTCCTTCCTCAGCTGCGCTCCTTTCTCCTCCCCCGCGTGCAAAGTCAACATAAGACCTCTGTTTGTCAAGTCAAGTTCTTGACGCAGAAAACATTCGAGAAGTCACAATCAAAACCAAGCGGAAAGCAGTCGTGCAAAGGTGGTGCCCCGCAAAAGCCGAAAATTATATTTACCTTGGAACGTCCGAACGGGTCTGCCTGCGCTATTCACCAGAGGCTGACAAGTGTTGATGCGACATAGGATGAGACATCCGTGCAAATCTATAGACTTCGTTGGCTTCTTTGCATATTTGTTTGTTACAAGTAAAAGGCCGGTAGCTAGCTACGGTTAGAGACGCTGGCAAAGTGTTTTGGGAGGTGTGTTACAAGGGCTGGAAGTTTGTTGAGGCAGCTGCGGGCCATTAAAGGTCATGAGTGTTTGCTGAAAGTGTCCGTTTTCTGTTAACGTGACTGGAAGTTTGGTAAAGGGCTTGGAAGTTTAGTGAAGATGACCGGAAGCCCCCCAAAAGGCTATGAACTTCAAGCCAGCGCAGCAAAGGGTCGCAGCCATGCCAGGTCCAGTCCCTACTTCTGGGAGCGAAACAAACCCTTCATCCAAGGCTCCCGAACCCTTGGTGCTTTGATCTTCCAGGACCCCCAAAAAAGGCCTTTGGTTGGTTTGCCTTCGCAAGACTAAAGGAACACGAGTAGGTAGCAACCGTTTCTTCTTGCAACCCCCACTCGAGCACAAGGAAACCAACAAAAACAATCAAGCTAAAACGTTGCCAAGGACAGTGAAGAAGGGCGCCAGGTCAAAACATCAACACCCCAAATATCTCACCTGCTTAGACCCAGCCTGAAAGGGCGTCCCAGATTTGTTCAGGCTGCCAAATCAGCCTCAAGGAAGCATGTCAATTTCTGTATGAAACCCCACATTGAGGCCACCAAGCCACGTCATGGGACAAGGACGCCTCTCTTGGAAGTCGCCAACGCGCAACGGGGTCACTGAACCAGGCGCTGGCCTTGCGCAACTTGAGCAAAGTCTTGCTGCTGGCAACCTGCCCCATCGACTTGCTGGCTGTCAGTGCACAACTAATCGATTCAGTTACTGGAAGCCCTTTTGCACTCCCTTGCTTGGCCTCCATGCGCGTGTGACTACTTACCACGGCTTGTTCCGCAGCTGGGCAAAGCAGTAGGCATCCCAGAATCAAAGGTTGAAAGGGCGGGCACCAACATGGACAACAACCAGTTTATTCTTCTGACACTGGCTGGGGAACCATGGTTCAACAGTTGAATTTCATCCATGTGTCAGTGCCACCTCAGACAGGTAAAGACGATCGTCAGGAACCAAGCCCATGATGTCATTGCCCAATGTTCGGTTTCCCACAGGCCAGGTTCTTCTCGGTACGCAAGAGCAAACATCCATCAAACATTCGCAGACAACTCGGGCACTATACCCTTTGGAATTCAAGAAGCATCCACACTCCTGGTTCAGAGTGCCAAAGTAGTTAAACTTGCTTTGACAGCATTGCACACCAAACGCCTTCCTCCAAGCTGCTGAAGGCATTTTGATTTCCTGCAAGTGTTCGCTCTCGAGCTGTTCCAAACACTGCCATAACGGATAACCTTGATTTGGCAAACGTCATGCTCTAACATGTTTCGGATGGACCCTTCAAGCTTTAAAATCGGCATAAGATCACAAGGGAAAACTGGGCGCCCCTTAATTAGCCAAGCTTCTTATGAAGATAGCCAGGACTGACTTGCCAGAGTCTGTGTAGCGCGCCTCATACGGGTCAGTGAGTTTAGGTTGAGTCTCTGTTGCCTCCACAAAAACACGTCACCTGCACAGTAGTGAGGGGCACCTGTTTGTCCAAGAACCCAACTTTTGGCAGAGCAGTCAAAGCACGTGAGCGCACCAACTGCAGACAGGCTCGGCCTGCCGGATGGGAAGGAGCATTGCCCTCAGCATCGAAACTTGGCAGGGTGTTGATGACATCAACTTCCAGACAGTCCAACGCATGCAAGCCATAAAATCGATCAATTGGATACTCCCACCAAATTGAGGAGCGACATGTTGAAGTGTATATCCACCAATTGCGCAGCAACAAATCATTGGGATCGCGAACATTAGCTCCTGCGTGGCAATTCTTAGCTTGGTCCATCAACGTCTTGTACAAGAACCAGGTCCCACACGATGACGGAAGACTACGGGAAGATGACGGAAGACTACGGGAAGCTGACGGGAAGCACTACGGGAAGATGACGGAAGAGCCTTTTTGGTCTTGGAGACCCGGGAAAAAAAGCAGCTTTTGCATCCCCAGCTTCACCAGCATCATCCTGCAAGTGCCTGGGGTGATGTTACGTCTGCGCGGGATGCAGAACCTGCTTTCTTTGTCTTTGAAAGTTGCTCTCAACCTCCGACCTGAGCCTCGGACTTTTCACCCCTGAGATCTTATTATCTTATATTGCAAACCATCCCATTGTTTCCTTTCTCTTTCTTGCTTACGGCTTTCGTTGCCTATCTTATCTGGTACACTTGTTTTTATGTTGGGTGATCTTCATTCTGGTACACTTTTCTGTGATCCAATATTTTGAGGAGATCCAGTCCATCTTTATTACACCTTCGAGTTACTTCTGTCTTCTTCTTTCTTCTCTTTTTCCGATTTTTTTAAAAACAAACAAGCTACCTTGCGAAATTAAGAATCCACCTCGCACCTCGTAACCCGCCTTCTCACGGAAAAATGCATCATCCAGCATCGGCATCCTCATCCTCATCATCCTCATCATCCTCATCATCAGCATGGTGACCGTCGTCATCATGAAAAAATAAATCAGAAGTGACGTTACGCCCGCTTGCGATGCAAGGGATGCTACGATTACCATAGCAATCCATTAAGGGTCGGCGGCATCAGGCGTCAGCCTGCTAAATCCGGCTATGCCTCCTTGGGGTAGCATGTCGCCGCTAGGCAATTAGCCTGCTAGCTTTACCTATAGGGGCTGCACCCTGGTGCCGCCGACCCTCGCCACTTGGTCGTGATGCGCGGCCTAAATCCGGCACCTCTGCATCACCAGCTCGGGCTTGCGGTTTTGCTTGACTGTGGGAAACCCTCGCAAAACATCGCGTATATGCAGGGTTTAGGCCATGTGGCTGACATCGTCAGGGTCTGGGGTTTGGCCTGGGTGATGCTTCAGCGGGGCTTGGTGTGCATCGTCAAGACTTCCTTCCAAAAAGCCTCTCCACCCAAAAAGCACTGTTTTTAAGTAGGTATCGGAGGGGTATAAGCGAGGCTCATTTTTGCGCATTTTGGCGCCAAGCGCTGCCGGGCATGCCGGCGATGCTGGGTCCAAGCTCAACAAAACGCTGTAAATACCGCCAAAAACTGCTGTGCTGAGCGTTGGGCTGTTGTTCTGTCCGTTTTGCTTTTGCTGTGGCTGGCTCGCGTGCGCGCGGTCCTTGCTTTTTTCGCGTTGGTTTTCAGGCCTTCTGGCGCGCGCGCGCGACTCCAGCCACAAAACGCTGCTATTTACTGTGTTTTGTTGCATCTGCGTTTCCGGCCTGGCTTGCGGGCTGTTCTTTTTGGGCTGCTTTTTTTGGGTCCTCTGGCGCGCGCGCGCGCGCGACCCCCTGATGGGGCCCAGAAAGCCGGCATCCCCGGCATTATCTGGGGTTAAGGTGGGCAACATGCATAACCTAACCAGCCATATCATAGCACACGCTACGTTTCTCATGCAAAAAAAATGACCCCCCCAACCTCATGGCTGTCGAAATTCAGAACTGCGGGGCTACGAATCCCTTCCAACCAATATGCGATCTGTGCGCACCTGCGCACAGAACCGCCTTGTGAGTGTTCACCTTTTGGTGTACCACCGCTAGGCTCGGCCAAAACCATTCAAACAGCCGATCCGATCGCTTTCCAAGGAAGACCAAAAGCAGGCCGTTGAATCATGGTGGCTTGCTTTTTGTGGGTTGAATTGCCTTAAGCCCAAGACAGACTTGTGCCTTGTGTGCAATCTGTGAAAACCGAGCAATGGGTATTCGCTTCATATGCAACATCGGTAATCTTTGCCATAGTGGGTTGCTAGACATTTCATACATGCACCTCCCACTTCTCAAGAGCAGTCAAAGTGGATCAATATGGCAACTAACACAACTGTCACCCCCCAACACAAAAAGGCATCATCATGAGTGAAGATGCCAAGGCCTTTGTTGCGGTTGCTATTGAAACATTGAATCACTTCCAAAGATATCCACTATGCGACTACTCGGGCGCCCCTCTCGTCTGCAAATGTGTCAAGCGCCAAAAGTTGCAGGACGCAACCTGTCGCCGGAAGTGCTTCTGAGGGTTGTTTGGTTGGGCCCCCCTCAGAAAGCCAAAGAACTCACGCGCCACACGCTCCCATCCGCGCCTGGGCTTCTGTACTACATTCGCCTGGGCCAGCGGTGGCCACAGGCTGCTTGCGCGCGAAGCAGGGTGGCGAAGCTTCAAAGGGCCTCTCCGCTGAGCCTCTCCAAATTGGGGAAGCCCTTGGATGCCAAAAGCAAACCAAAGAGAACCAGCCCTTAACAAGGGCTCCCTGTTTTGAGACACACCCAAATGTGCTCAAAGACCTGGGCTGGCCTTTGGGTCTTCGAAAGGTGACTTGATGGGTGAGATGTTCTTGGTGACAGGGATCTGAGGCCTGCAAGCACCCCCTCCAACCTTCACCGACAGCAAATGCCCTGAAAAAAGCGGGGGTGGTCGCAAGGACCCCTGCAAGAAGGGTGTCCTTGTACCAGTGAGTGGTCAAAAGTTGAATGTCTTACCAACAGGCAGCCAAGAGAACTGCTTCCACCCATAAGTGCGAAAGCTTCAGGAACCTTTACAAAAACTTGTGTCTGCCCACAGGCAGGGAAGGAACACCTAGAGCAATGGGAGCAAGTGCTACAAAGAAGATAGAGCCATCAGGCACCCATGTTGGGCAAACAAAAGCTTATGTTCATGCATGCAAAGCGCACAAAAATAAATATATACATATACAAAATACACTGTATTACCTCTGAATACCCCTGTACATGCCCAGTGTGTACTCCACATGTGTGGACAGCATTGCGTTGGGGCAACCGACCCAGGAAAGACCCGGGCACGCCGCTTGACTGAGAACCGCGCTTGAAGTAGCATCATCCACCTCAGGGCCGGTGCACATGTTTCATCGGTGGTTTGAAGGTTAGGGGTGGTTTCTCATCCTTCCTCTACAGGAACCAGGGCTTCAAATCCCCAAACTACCAATATCAGGGGAGATGACTGACAACAGTTCAACGGGCTGGTGACGACCAATCTATCATGTGGGACCGTCAAGTCATCAAACATGTTGCACCCAGCACGCAGGTCATACATAGACAACTTAGTGCAGAATCTGAAAGTTGGTCAAATGTTAATGCCAGGTCAAACTACTCGGACCCCTCCAAGGTTTCATGTCGTTGGTTTTCTTCGACTGGGCTCGTACCCTCCACTTCATGCAAGTTGGCAGGAGGTACATCGAGTTCTTCTCAGTATTGCAATTGAACTACATCAGCCAACCCATCATGGCAACTTCCAGGAATCCACCTACCTCCTTGCAACACGAGGGGATCAGCCGCGCCCCCACGACCTCAAGGGACAAAAAAACCGAGCGCCTTTGTCGGGCTTGCTGTGCTGAAGGCACCGAGTTCCCCCGCCCCGAAGCGGGTGAAAGCCCAAGGGCCCCGGCCAACGGACACGCCCGCGCCAGTGGGATCAAGAGGTTCTCGCGACGGTAGCCCTGCCCCCCCCAAAAAAAAGCCGCGAGACGAAGAGACGGTGAGAGGATAGAAATGGGCGGGCAGCGCAAAGGGTTGCTAGAAAACACGGAACGGCGGCCAAAAAGACAGGGTCGCTATTTTGGCTTCTGCGTAAAAAAACGCAATCCCTGGACTGCGTCATCTTCTTCCAAAGCAATCAACCCTGGCCAAATGCTGCCCCCAGGCACGGGGATGAGATGTCAAGCCCAGGTCTACCCATCAAGGGCCAAGCCGGTGACACCCCGAAGAGTGGGCAAAGACACGCCTGGGTTGGTCCCTCCAGATGCCGCACTCTTGACTGAAAAAGACATGGGAAGCAAAAGGAACAATAAAGCCTGCAGTGCCATGGGTCAGTGAATTCAACGGGCTGGTCAACACATGCAAGGAGCAAAGATTGGGTGTCTCTTTTTTTAGGGGACCCCAAAATGGTGTTTTGGCTTTTGGCGTCCTCTTAAAACCACAAAAAAGGGGGCATCCTCCAACAAAAGTCGCAAACATGCTATCCTCGGCTTTCCAAGGATCGAGAGTTCTGCGGCTCGGAAGCCGGACTTACCAGCGTTATACCCTTGCACACTACATAGGACTGCACCCTTGTGCGGGTACTTTCATGTGGTGTTGCTTGACCAATCATTCGGGCTTTGGGTGGGCCACCCACCATACTCAGCCCAACCGCAAGCAAGCTGAGCTTGGAAGCGGCCGGGTGTTAAGGGGGGTCTGGAAAACGTCGCCGCTGTGACTGACCAAAAGAACACACAAACTGACAAAATACTATCCGGACCTGGGCTAACATGCCCAAGGATCTACCAGCAATACGTGTAGTCATTCTTAATATGGGGGGGCGTTCCCCTTCAAAAATGACGAATCCCCACTAAACTCAGGGCCATTGCCATATTAATAAGCAGGGGCCGGGTCAACATTTGGGGAAGTCGACCAAATCTGCAGGAAAGTTCCAAGACCCGAAAGGTAGCACTTCATGGTGAGCTCCTCTTACCTCCGAATCGAGAAGGCACGTCCACACCTCCAGTGGATTGCCCGCATCAGGCAAGCAGTGTGGGCAAGCAGTGTGGGCCATGCTAAGCATTCAATGACCAAACAAACAACTTGATTCCTGAGTGGGCCAAAAGAAGTTCATTTGTTTACCACGAAAACAGCCCTTCAAACTCCAAACTCCAAGGACGCATAACGTCCAGAACCTCGGGAAGTGACACAAACAAAACAACATACCACATACCAACGAACAAACAAATAACCAAACAAACAAACAAAGCAAACAAAACAAGGAAGGAAGGAAACCAACAAGAAGGAAACACCGAACCAAAGAAGCAAGGTGCCGAAGTGAGGCTACCGTGGCAGCTGATGTTCCACCGCTCTCGTGCCGAGCCTGGATGAACACGCGGCTCTCAGCACCCACCTGCAAAACCGCACCACGGAACTGCCCAAAACAGCAGACCAATAACACCCGGGAAATACTGCGGATGGACGAAATCCGTTTGCACCACTAAGAAGCCATGGGAAACCATAGTTCGAAAGAATGTACAGGAGAGTCGTATCATTCCAGGGTTGCTTAGGTGGGGCGAAATCGATTTTGCAGCCATTCAAGAGTAGCAAACCACCTCCAAGTTTCGGTTGCTTCAGCCAAGCGATCCGGTTGATCCTCTCCCTGCAAACCTGGCACTGAGTGAATGGACCTTCATGGACTGGCTTACCCACCAGGTGAGCTCTACTTTTGCCGCCTGGTGTTGCAACCAAACCGTCAGGGGGTCCTTAAAAAAGGGGACCGGTGTCTGCTTGGCCTGGCCACTCTCGTTATTGTCACCCCCAAGGGACAATTGCATATGCACCATTTAGTGGCCATACAGTGGTTGTACACTCCTATTTTTCCTGAGGACCATGATATGGCAATGGAGACTGCAATGAACGATCCCGAACACTGGCCAGTGCAAAGCACCACCCCAATGGTTGAAACAACAAGCCCTAAGTTCAAATGGCCACCTTTCGTGCACAAAGGGCAACCCACTTGTCCAAGACGAGACCTAGAATCCCCACTGTTCATCAAGCCGGGCTCTTTTTTTTTGCAATCCTTGGTTCTCGTATATATATATATATAAATCCCATGATTTCAATAGCTTGGTTCTCAAAGGATCGGCCCCAAAACCGAAGCCGCCGATTTCGGCCCCGCCTGGCTATCGAAGGGTGTGAGAGGGTACTCCGCCCTCAGCTGCAGTTTTGGCCCATCCGCGCGAAGCAACCATGCTGTCCATAAAGGGCTCAAACACCTGCCCCTTCAGTGATATGTTACCCTATGATAGGTACTGGGTATATATGCTTGTGTATGTGCATCTGTGTCTTTAGATACTATCAGGGGTATCTACCCCAAACGTCTGTGGTTGAGCCTTACTCCGGTCAAACCGTCAAGTCGCGAAAAGAACCAGGCGGCCAATCCAGAAACGCCGCAGCCAGCCGCCTGAATCTGACTAAATGCTCTTTCTTAGGGCAGGTGCCACCGAACTGCCCCAAACGTGCCATCGCCAGCAAGTTGCATGCCGAAGCTCACTCAGCAGGCTGGATGGCGTTTCTTGACAACGCGTGGATTGCAACTACCACCCGTCGGCCCGTTTAGCTGAGCTTGAAGTCGGCTGCAGCAACTGGGGGCAGGCCGAAGCTGCTCCGGACGCACGCAACACCGTGCCAATAAACGCCAACTTATAACGTCAGTTGGAGTTTCGGATGCCAGGGACAGCAGCATTTCTCTCAAAATGATCGGACCCCAAAAGGGTGGTTTCCTTTTGGTTTCCCCTTAAAATCAACCAAGAGGGGTTCCCGCATAAAAACAAAACGCAGCCCTGTGGAATTGCCTTAACATGGTCGGCCTCTCACCCACTTGTAATTTCTTGTTTCTTCAGGACACGAAGGAAACCCCACCGGCGCGAGCCCTCATTAATACTTTATGGTGTTTACAAAACGAGCACCGCAAACATGGTAGTTGTCCTGTTGTGTCTCTTTAGCCACATTAAATATGGATGCACAAACCACACACACACACCCTTGTTATTTGTAGGGAAGATGCATGGGCAAAGGCAGACCCCCTTCCACACAGCCGGGTGGCTCCTGGGCCATTTTTTGTGGGTGAACACACTCACCGTACGACGGAGATTTCCCAGGCCACCGGGCGTCTCATCCAGCTTGGGCGGGGGATTCAGCACATCCCGGCAGAAGTCCAAACGCTCCTCCTCAGTGACTGCGACGAGGATGCGAACATGTCCAAAACGAGAAATCAAACACATATATGCTCCTACTGACACTCCTGCAATCTCCTGCACATCTTGCACAATGCCAAGATTGAAACCAGCCTGTTCGTGTAACAGGACACTGCTACTGAAAACCACCACGCGTAGACTTTCCATTTGCAGGTTCTAGCTGCCGCAAGAGCCTGCTCAAACAACAGCCACATCAGGCATGGTTTCTTGCATCGCACCCCTCTGAACGATTGGAAGTAAGCGGAACAAGTCCCAGCAGCGTGCTGAGGTGGGGGGGCCCCTGGCGCCCACGCTTCGGCAGAAGGGAGAAACAGCGGGCACATTGATAGGCCTACCTCAAGCAAAAGGGGGTGAGGCTAAGGGTCCCCAGTTCGATCCCTGATATTGCCCTTCTTGAGTGGCTTAGTCATCACCCTGTTGGCCAATTTGTTTCCAACAGCAAATATAAGAAGTGCCATCCAACCACAGACCCACATCCAACCAAAGACCCACATGAAGCGTTTGAACCAGTGGCTGACCCCCGCCCGTGGCCCGGTGTGATCGATGGCATAGCTGGGCCCTCCGGCGCTCAGCCAGGTGTAGCTCAGCGAAGCGAAGCCTGGCGCAATTTCCGTCCCGGGGCCCGGCCCCGCCGGTGGCCGCCGAAGCCCCGGGAGCGTGGTTGACGCTGGGCTTGGGGAACAAAAAATCCTCAGATTTTGGCAGTTAAGCGGTTGGATTTCAACCACTCAACCACAATAAGCCAAAATGTAGAATGCTTCCCAACAACCGTGGGAGGTGGAACAGGCCCACCTCACGCACACGAGGCCCCGCAGACGAAATCGAAACCCACCAAACCACACATGTTCAGAGGAGCCTTTGTTGGGGAACGCCAAAAGCGTACTTGCAGAAACACATGGGACCCACAAAACGAGGAGCCTTCGTTGGGGGACCCTCTGCCCTTGGTTTCCATGTTTCTTCGCAGGGGGTGATTGCTGTGTCCTTTGGACCCAAGGAGGCAACCGACCATTTTGAGGCTTCCCCACATAGAGCCACACCAATGGCATGGGGATATAATTTTGAGTTCCAAGTGGGTCATGGGTCATTGATGCAAACATAGCTTGCGGCTGGTTGAAGCAATCTCAGCTGCCCAAAGGAGCAATCTCCAAAAGGTTCTCCTTCTGGGGCCATAAGCAACTAGATCAAACGGGAAACTCAAAGGTCAATAAGGTCGGCTGTGTGCAAGTGCGCAACTGAAGAACATGTTCTTTTTCCCAGCAATTACTATATTACTATATTATTTTTCATGATTAACGATTCTTATCTATTATTCGCCAGCACTTCTGACCTCTTCGACTTTAGAGCTTCTGACCTCTTCGACTTTAGAGGGCCGCGGCATTCCCACGAAAGCAAGACCAGTCCTCTGGGTACAACGCTTCTGCACCAACACGGTACCGGAATTTCAATCAAGAAGGGCCATCCCAGATGTAGACTTAAGAGCGCAACTTCCAGCTGCATGGCCACAAGGAAGACCGAACCGAGATTGTGCGGCTGGCATGGACTGGCAAAGGGGCAAAACAGCCTCCACATTCCTCCACACAAATTTGGCCCACCCGGCAGCGAGTCCAAGTCCCCCTGGAATCGCCCGACTTTTTGGCTCCAGGGCAAATTTTGCTCGCATCTGTGAGCGATTGGCAAAGCGCTTCTTCAGCCTCGGCCAGGGCTTGACAAACCTAGCTCCTGTGGGCTCCCTCTACCCCAGTTGTCCGGCGGCTAGCTACTAGTTTGACAAGCGAGCAGTTGACTAGTCTTCCTGAAGCCCACGAAACATAGAGGGAAGAAGGCTGCACGTGAACAATGCCATAGTTGTGAAGTGGCAAGTGACTGACTTGCCTGAAGCAAACGACCGCGCAAGCCTACTAAAGTTGATCAACCCTGAATTTACCAATGCCATGCTTGTGGTTGGTTCACTTGCGATGAAGGGCACCCGTTTTTGTCCTCACTCGATGGTTTGGCTCTGCCTGCCCCC